GAATCCATGCAAGAAACTCTAAAGCAAGCCAAGCCTGGCTGTGCTTTCGCTGTTGGAGTCCATCGAGAAGATTGTACAGACGGCCTCGATGGTGAGAAGGCGAATCTTGATTGCTGTCAAGAGGTGTTTCGTCTGTTCGCACATGATGCTGCCATGGAGTATGTTTGCGGCTATCAGCATCCGCATGATTCACGGGAAATTCCCTGCTCACCTCTGCGCCGCCTCTCTTGCAGAAAGTAATGCAGGAGGGGAGTGAAGATGCTCGCCGAAGAGCGGCGGACAAATGTTGCGCTTCCGTACTCAAAGGCCTTTAGGAATGCAGTGCATCTAGGGTTGGGATCCACATGCACTCTTGTGCGCTTGTCAAAGTGTAGGAAGTCGAAAGGGTTTTCCCAGATTGTGTGCCAAGTTGTGCAAATCCTGCGGTGGTGACGGTGCAATCGACCGACACAGTGTGACAATAGGGGGATAAGGAAAAGACTAAAGGTGGTTTGAGATAACCAGGGACTTCCGCTTTTCCAGGCAGCTGGACAGCTTCCTGGACAACACCGAATGCAGAGATCCAGCCTACGTTCTTATCGAAGTGGTCATATTAGCGGTCTTCCTACACCAAAACTGTTCGACTAATCTCAAAGCTGCGAATGCCTTCTTTCAGGGCAGCCTGTCCCGTAGCAGCATTGCCCAGACAAACACGGGGTGTTGATGATACCCTCCTTCCCGAAGCAATGGGCGACAGCAGCCGCGAGACCTTTACAAATTATCGTTATGAGAGTTAGAGGCGATACAAGGAGTGGCCACAAGTGAGCCTGTTTGAAACATCTGCCGTTCTCATTGTGCACTGCATATACCCCAATCAACTGAGTGCCCTTGTCGCCTACATGGCTGCGCACCAAGCTGCGCCTGCTCCCGTCAATGAAGTCTTCAGGAAGCGTAGTCGGCGTAGTGCTTCGATGTTGAAATCTTGCGGTGTAGGCTTGGCAGTTTCGCTCGCAGCCGCGATGGTCTTGCTGCTTTGGGGTACCAAGCTTCAGGTCCAGCTATCTCTCACTGCAGAGGCTCAAGTCTATAAAAGAAGTTCTGGGGCTCCAGCGTCCACCTAGGAAAGCCAAGCGGGGCGAGGTTCTGCTCTCGAGTTGTTTGTAAGTAATCAGCTTTACAGGCAGCGCTTTGACAGGATTGACTGCTGCTGGTGCTGCTGCTCTTACCACTAGCTACCACTACCCCTACCGCGACCCCGACCACTACGACGACGACTACTACTACTACTCCTCCTCCTCCTCCTGCTGCTGCTGCTGCTTACTACTGCTGCTGCTGCTGCTGCTGCTGCTGCTACTACTACTACTACTGCTACTGCTACTACTACTGCTACTACTGCTACTACTACTATCACTACTACTACTACTACTACTACTACTACTACTACTACCGCTACCACTACTACTAC